TCTAAGAGAACTTGTCTACAGATATAAAAACCTGCTAACCAGGTAAAAAACTATCTACATGGTTGTAGAAATCTATATATAGAGCTATCTGATAGAAAAAAAACTGCAAACTAAAATGCACTTTAACCTGTGCCAAAAGCTAAAAATTATATATATATAACTTCGAAATACTGCATATCTCTATTATATTGCTCTAGTTTACAACTCTCATGAAATCTACTTCAAATCTTAGAACACTGATTTTAAAGCCTCGACATATGATCGTTAGTTCTATTTATACTGAGCTACTCTTTCTAAATTACAAAATTCTCTTACAGTTTTCATAACACACCTTGCTTCTTCACTATACGAGATTAAACAGGGATCTTCCCTATAGTCTACCAATATTATTAAAAGCTACTTTCTCGGGTTTGTCACATAAGATATTCATTCCTGCATAGTCAAAGCTAATTCAACACAGGACTTTCACGTACTTCAATTTAACTTAAATAGAACTTTCTTCTCATATGTGATTGTTGTGTTCCTCATTTATCATATCATAACTCGAAACTTTCTGAAAATAAAAATATAAACAATGTTAATCTTTTGGAGGAGGTAGCCAAATTCTCCATTTTTTGTCAAAAATTAAAAAAAAAAAAATAGCAAAAGAAAAGTGTAGTTTTGTAAGTTTTCTAACTAAGGAATGTTGTTTCAAGAGTTCTTTATAGCCTTCTGTTTCTAAAATACTTGAGTTCTCCTTCTACTTACTGTTTCCAGAGACTTCTCCAGTTTGAATGCCAAATACAAAAAGGAGTCTACCCAAGAGAAAAAAGAGCTTGACCCCTTTGCAAACTATTCAAAATGTTTGCTCTTTGGTGTATCATATTTAAGACTTCGTCAACAACAGTTTGTATTAAGAGAACTTCAAGTTATTTGTTTACTTCTGGTCTTGAGTCTTCAACTTACTTTTGGAGACTAGTTGGTACAAGTAATCATTGAGAAGAGTTGTGTTTATTATTTGTTTTTGAATAGATAAGATATTAATAGTACAATAATTGCTAATTTTATTAGAATTTAAATAATATTCTGTATATAGTTGATATTAAACAGGTTAAAGAGGATAGAGTATTAAAAAAGTGTTTATGAATTTTATTAACAATGATATCATTGTTGTTATAGCTAAATAGTCAAAGTTGTGATTTTTTAGAAATATGTGTATTGTATGCAAAGATAATATAGGCCCTCAAAAGTAGAAACTAGAAAATTTGGCCGATCATAAGTTTTGAGAAAATCAACAAAAACTATTTTGTTATACAAAATCAAAACAATTTAAAAATAGTTTATTCAAGATTAACAAACCTGTTTAAACAGAATTATTAAATCTGTAGAACTGTAAATTGCATAGTAAATCTTAGTAAATCTATTTTTAGATTAGAGTATCAAAAGCTTTTAACTGTTGTATTGCAAAAACTTATTAAGTGATCAGACTTTCATTATTAAGTAAAAAGTTTGGGCTTTAAATTTTATACCTGATTAATTAGACAGGTTAATTTTCAAAAAATCATCAAATTTCTTGGTTTTTACTTTTGATAGTCTATATATAATTATGTTGTATTTTATGTATATATACTAATATAAAATTAAATTTTTACTTCTAGATTATCAATTATTATAAAACGCACCTATAGTGGTTTTGCATCTATTATATGTTTTTATTATGTTTTTTAAAATTTTCAAAGTTTTTATAAGTTTGTATATAAAATTTTTAACACCAATTTTTTTACTTTAAAGTTAATATTAAGGTTAGAATTAGGGTTTGAAGGAGTTTTTAGGGGTGTAGAACATTTTTATTTAGAACACCTCACATCAATTAATTAGCCAGTTTTTGAGATAATGTATACATAGGTGTAAAACACCATAGGTGCGTTTTAGTAAAATCTCTAGATTATAGTATATATAGTAATAATTAAAAAATAATTAAACTAATTTTTAAAAATAAGCTATAACTTAAGTTATTTTTTTATATTTGGCAGTTTTGTCTTTATGATTTTATTGAAAATATCAGAAAATTATTATTAACAGATATACAAAACTTTCTATACTATATTTCTATATTAATGAAGACTTATTCAATCTTATAGTCTAGATACAATACTATCTAGCAATAATTTGCTTTATATTAGATTCTTAACTTTTTGAAAATTTAAATACTCTGATTATTAGCTAGAATAGCTATATTGTTTTGTCATAAAAAAAAAACAAATAAAAGAGAAAGAAAAAAAATACAGAGATATAGAGAATAATGATAAAATATATAAACAAGAAAAAAAAGAAATAAAAGAGTGAGTATCAAAAACAAAAAAAAAAATTTGGTTATTCTAATATCACATATTTATAAGCTTATAAAAGGCTTATAAAAATTATATACTACTAAACAAAGTAGTTTCTACTCTAAATTTATTTAAATAGGCCTATATCTTAAGTTAAACTGCTGTCACTATCTATTTTTCACATCTTAGTAGACATTATTAAATACTACTATACCACTTTATTTCTTTTTGCATACTTTCTTTATAATGCGTACATTATTGCATATAAAACTTATTAAATATGACCGCAAGAGTTTTATTAGCGTGGACCAATTTTTGCCAGTTTGAGATAAACTTACAGGACAAAAGATGAATAGTTTAAATGAATGAACATAGACTAATTTTCCGAAAACAATGAATCAGTTATTGATATATTCCGAAGCAGCCTTTTTCCAGGCATCCCTACTAATCAATCTATCCTTCCATTTTTTAACATTGGGTCTTTCATTCCATAAATCAGAATGATTGGCGACAACGCAGGAGAAATGAAAAGTAGGACAGTGAAGGAGATCAGCTAAAGAATATTCACCATTTAAATATTCTTTTCCTTCTAAAAGCCTCTCATAAACATCTAAAACTTTGGCAATTTCTTCACGAGCTTGCTTGACAATTTCGGGGTCCGAGGCTTTACCATGATATTTTTCAGAATATACTTCTTGAAATAAGAGTTTTGAGACCCCCGGATCATAGTAAAATGATTCATAAAAAATAAATTGGTCGACTAGTCCGGCTTTATGAACATCGTTAGGGATCAACACCGTATTATTATGTTTGCCCTGGTATTTAGATACTAGGTAACGACAAATTGCACGAGATTCGGTAATTTTAAAATCTCCATCATAAAGGACAGGGATTTTTCCGCTATAATTAATGTTACAAGTTAATAATTATAATAACCCAGGATAATTATAGAAGTCAGGGAAGTCACCATTAGCTCATTATATTATCGTTCCGCTAAAATTTCTAAATTTTAATAAAATGTCAACGGAAGAAAGAGCTCATTTGTTAGTGCCCTTATATGATACTTACAAAGGATGTTTATTAGCAATATAGTCCTCTGTTTTTAAATCAGCTAAACTACTAGGAGGATCGAGTTCGAAAGGAAGACCTAATTCATTAAGGCATGTAATAATCGGGAGAACTCTTGTTGATTCACCGATTCCAATAATTCTAATAGACATTTTTTGATACTAATATTATGTGAGAATGCAAATTAGGCGTATATTTAAGTGCCGATTTATACGTATATCAAATTTGGAGTTGGGCTAGTTCAATGCAATATACTGTACACCGACCATATATACCATATATACCAGATATGCTACGTATATATGCTACGTATATATACAGTGTTGGGCAAATTAGTGGTCGACCAAAAATTTGCTGGTCAAATTGGTCTGGTCAAATTAGTCAATTGGTCAAAC